CTCCCACGTAGATGAACGGGGGTCGGATGAGGGAAAACTTAAATTGGAGTTTTGCATACACAACTAGCTTAATATTTTACATGTAATGTATCCTTAAATTTGACCGCACAACTACAGCAAATATTTTACTCTGACCCTTGAATCAATAACACTCTAAACTTTGTTTACAGTGGGTATTTCGAAAAATTCAACGCTTACTTAAACGCTTTTGAACGAGCTAGATTTTATTGCTTTATTGCTATTCTTTTTTCTTTTTTTAGTAAACGCAGATTAGAAAGTGGAAAATAGAAACCTATTTATATATAAGATTTTAAAACCAAAACCTACATCGTGAAAAGTGTAGTACGAATTTGAGAAGGAGCGTCTATGTTTAATTTTGGTAGTATACATTGAAAAAAAAGTACAAGGATCGTACTAGGCATCCTTAATTATCCACACAATCCAAATTAATGAAAATGAATCAGTTTTAAGAACCCTTCAATTAACCAATCAATTAATTTGCAAAACACACACTGATCAGCAAGCTTTTCCTTACGATAGGATCAGGTTAAACTAAACCGCACTTTGTACAGCATGAAGGAATTACAGAGAAATTTCGACGAATTCCAAATGAATTAAGCTGAGCGCCATAGTTTAATAGCGCAATTTCTGGAAATTCCTCTGAACAGTAAAATTCTTTGAAATTCCTTGATACTGTATACCATAATTCCTCTTGGGTAATTGCATAATATTTATGTGGAGCTACTCCATTAAAGATTTTCATATTAATTTTGTCTTGATTTTCCTTTTAACCCACCAAAATAAATTGAGATTGATACCTTAAACACTCGGATTTAACCGGAAATGAAACAAACGTGGAAGGTTTTCCAGGAACGCAAATCTAAAGGGAAATTTCGGAATGACGTGAAATAATATATCTATAGGTATAATAAGTCTTCTAGCCGAATTTATCAGGACGCTGCTTTGAAAAATTCATCCGTACATATTTCATGAGCTTACGGGGGGATAAAACTTTGCACCTTTTGAATAATAAAACCGTGGAAATTTACGTATACGCAAAGAAACTCCGTCGACCTAATACGTTGGCTTTATGAAAAAGAACGATCGGAATCAAAGCGAATGTGTCATGGTAAATATATTTTTCGTTTTAGGAGCGGCGCGGACTCAAAGGTAAATATTCAAAGCGAGTGCGCGACGGTCTCGAGTGCAATTCCCTTTTAACCGTGACTTAATGGGACCATAACACTTTGCGTAGTTCGTTATCTTGGGCGTCGCGACGTCAGTGCCGCCATTCGGGAGTTTTTCATACAAATCTGTTTCCTTTTTCTTTTTGCGTTTTTTTTTATTTGCAATCTGACAGGACCGAAGTCCTTCATAAAACAAGATTACATGGATTAAATTTCAATTAAATAACAGCCTTGGCCGTTTACCGCGTCCCAACCTATACGCGTTTCGATCGCTGTACATATGAAAAAGATACCAATTAATATTTCAAGACTTATTTTGTTAAATTGTCCCTAAATTAAATTTTACGACTGTCCATTTGCTAAGAAGCACGTTATACGGTATATAGAAGACGACTGGTTTTACTGTTTGCTGGCGATCTAAAAACAGTACCTATTACTAGTGTTGGTGACCCCATCAGCTTTTCAGAAATGGTGCACTGATAATAAACCATAAGTTTAAATAAATGTTGCTATTGTAATATAAAGTTTTGGGTTTCACAGGTAACCTTCATACAGAACGGTATCTTGATCTTATGTTTGACAGCGCGCTTTCTTTTGTCGGAAATATTTGTACCAAAGCGAATTCTGCTCCTAGGATGTTGGACTTATTATGGAAATTGTCGTATTTTTCAAAGAAACTTCCACAGGGCTACTATAGTGCTATTTACAAATCTTATGGATTCCTACTACGTCGGTTGTTGATCAATCGAACTTGCCGATATTTTGTCAGTCATCCTGTTCACTTAACTGAAACTGGCTCTAGTCTGTACCTGCTAATATACTGTTTGCAAAGCAGGGGCTCCTCAAACAGGATGATTATATCTAGACTAAACGCAATGATGCTGTAGAATAGAGGGCTGCTATCCGGAACGAAGATTGAGAATGCATAGTAATATCAATGTTTAGTCACTGGAGCAACAAAGACTTAAAATTCACAAATTCCAATATTACCTTTTTTGTGAAAATCGGCAATGGTAATTTACATAAAACTTAAAATAAACTCAGTGAGCATTGTTATACTATCTCACGCATCTGCAAGTGAGACTAAGTTAATCTGTGATATGTATTTGCAATGCTACCGGTGTCTAGGCTATAATAAAACGTGGTTTCTATTGTTACTTCTGGGTAGTTATTAAATTTCTATTATTAAAACTATTAGTCAGACTTGTTCAAATGATTGTCCCGTTACGGTTCAGCACTTCACAAACTCAAATGATGACAAAACGGGCACCTAGACGGAATACTGCAGGGAGCATACAATTCGATTTGAACATAACTCTCGCTTATATATTATCCAAGATCCTCTAATCCAATCAAATCGAAATAACCATCATTTTATGCGCCTATCCAAATAATTCCGATCTATATTGAGCCGACCGAACGCTTGTCGTCGGGCACACCTCTAACACCATCGTAATCATAATGTAGTGGGTGTCGTAATTACAACGCCATATACGTGTCAGAATTTCGAGGTTATTATGGTGGATGATTAATCGTCCAATTATACACCTTCCCCGCCGGAAAAGTTCGAGAACGTGCAGGGTATAAAGTACACTCGACCGACCGTTGTTACAATAATGCTTCCTTGTTGCTTGCCGAACCGAAAATGACTTATCGGAAGAGACTTTTCGGGTATGCCCGATAAATCCCCCACGTCAAACTTTAATGGTGGTCTTTAAAATGGCGCCGATATTAGCGGCTTACGAGCGGAAGTTTGGCCGTAGTAGACCTGGACTGGCATGTGAAAGTGTTCTCCCAATAAGAACGACGTGATTTTTTTTTGAATGACACGTCACCCCGAGGATCAGAGTGACGTGTTTTTTAATAATTATTGTTATAGTGTTTGAATGGGATGTGTAGTTCCTGGACACAGAGAGTCCGCTCGATGCGACGACTGGTAGCTTTTGAAATATTGCTAATGCGAAGAATTCGTAGAATATCGTGGAGCACATTACCAATGAAACGATGCTAAGAAGATTGCTTTCGAAAAACGAGTAAGCGGGGCAAGTTCGTCGCAAATAGCGCGAATCAGCTTTTTATTTTAAAAAGCAGGCGCTTCCCGGATTCTTGTCCTAGAGGGACGCAATGTTTTTCTCTCGTGCTCCTGCGGACCACTATGGAACTTTCGCAAAATCGATGTAATCTGATTGTGCATATACCCTGTATAAAGTGTAGTTCACATCTCGTCGAACTTCAAAATTACGGCACACTTCGGTAAATATCAAAATTTGTACTGGTAATTGCAATATTTAAAATTATATTTTTTCAAATTTCTTGCGTCCCGAAACCTTAAACTCTCTCTCGACGCAGTTTACGTACTGTTCATATCAAATTATCACATCTTTAAAAGCGGAAATTTCTAGAATCTATTAGAATTTTTTGCCCACAAACGACATACCTTGTATAAAATTCCAACAATGTTCGAAATAGAGGATATAGCCCTGGACTTTCTTAGTTTCCTGATATCTGAATTTTTCCAATGGAGTAAATGGTTCTCAAAAAAGTACTTGTTTTCTGAAACCATGCAGTACGTGGTAATAGTAATGACGTCATCGCATCTAGGTGAGGGCGAGAAATGATGATTTTCATTTGGATTTTTTCAAATATCTCGAACAGCGTATATGAAGACAAAAACCCTAAATACAAAAATTGTAGCCCTTCATACGGCTTACAACACTGTTTGAACGGATTAGCTACTGTTTGTACGAATTTTGATTTACGGTAAATAATTTACTCTCTAAAAGAACAATTTTCAGGGTCTTTAAGATTTTTCTACATAACTAAAACACCTTGTATATAATCGAAAAAATGCGTGAAACAAAAGTTATAGCGTCGAGTCTCCCGCGTATTACGGATGTGAAATTTTTGTAATCGGATGAATGGCTTTGGAGCAAAAGATGTTGTTCTGGATGCCAAAATAGCCACAAAAAAATTCTATATCGTCATGTAAAAGAAACTGACATCTAGAACACAGATTTGAAATTATTGCCAATTTTCAATAATAGAGGGACCCATTTTTGAGTTTTTTTTAATTTGTGGCGCACCCTGTATATTTTTGAAAAATTGTCAAGAATAAAAGTTAATGGAGTCGTTTCCTCTGCGTCTTCGGGTTCAAGAATTTTTTCGATCTTGTAAACGGTTTTTGAAAAATGGTCTTTTGTGTAGACCCTTGCACACGCGATTTTTATTTTTTTTAAATACTTCTTGGCTCACCAGCCCCCCCCCCACCCCCATTTTTAATAGGTAGGTAGAAGTCGATGACTTCAAATTTCGGTCACTTATCGTGTTTCATAGCAAGGTCCGAAAATCGCGAAAAAATGATGTTTATGTACCTCGTGGAGGGTTAAAAAGGAGGCAAATTTCAATTTTGTAGCTCCAACGGTCCGAAAGTTATTCAAGAAAAACCAAAAGACGAGAATGGAGAACGAACAGACAAAAATCTTTTTTTCGACGGTGATCATTTCTGTACCAACGGCGATCCCATAGGACTTACCATTACCGAGATATAAAATTTGGTAACCTTAAGAAAAGAAATAGTTAGTTTTCATACTCAACCGGATATCAGTTTTAATGGGGAAATGACAGCTTGGTTTTGACGTTTCGTAATATTATCAGTGATAGAAAGCGAAAGACACTATTGGCAAAGATTATACTACTACTATCTTTCGGTTCAGAGGGGCAACTTGTCACATTTTTACACAAACTTTATTGTTCTACAGTCTTAAAACTGTTATAAAGTGTCCCATATTTCTGTCCTTGTTTATTTTTCCTTACCAGCGGTTTTCTATCCTTCCTTTTTTTGCAAAAATTTTGGTAGTTCATGAGCAACATTCGATAAATAGTGCATCTAAAAAATGTGTTTAAAAAACATAATTGAAACCCACAATAGTAATACGTACGGCTCTGTATTCGAAATTGTAAAACGTTAAAATTACTCGGTGCAAATATACGTAGACCCGAACTTGCAAATATCACGTTCTCCGCGCTCTCGCAGACTATTTATCACTTAACCTTATCAAAGGCATTATTGCCGCTATCCTTTACCCCTACCTTAAAATATTACCGTCTCCATTTCGTGGGAGCAAAAACTTGGTGCAATAATAAACAGGTGAAATGGAGAAACTAGTCCTATAAGGTCTGCCTGCCTCGACGAATAAAATTGCGGAATACTTTGAAGTAGAAAATGAATAATAGAAAAGATCTCGTATTGCACGCGAGAACGCTACAGGACGGTCCGATTTCCGTTTCGCTCGTTCGAGACGAATCGACAGGAATACAAGATCTAGGCGATACAAATATGAAATTTGATAACCAAGATCGGACACAATGTAAGAAGAATTCAGGAAGCACCTTAGGCGTAGTCAAAAAAGAGAAGCCAGACAGCGACGCTTCGGAAAATCTAAAAAAAAAAAGAATACAGCAAAAAAGAAGCGTCCTGTGCCGATCTAAATTTGGGGGGAGGTATTAGCGTTCTCCCCCTGGGTTGAATATTTAAAATCCAATATCAGTGACGGCAAATAAGATCCGTTTGGTATTCCGAACGCGCGTCCGCCTGTAACTAAGACGAAAAAAGTCGGGCAAGAAGAAAAGGAGCTTTGCGAGAAATAAAATATGTACGCTACTTCGCGCGACGACAATGGTACCCGAAGCGTCGCTAAATTAAATATTAAAGAGGCGGGGAGTGCATACAAAGTATTATCCCGGGCCCTCCCCCGCCACTCTATAAATACAAATCGCCTTTGCTTCGGTTAAACGCCTAATAAATAGTAAATATAATTTTCTGTTTAAAAACGGTGGTGTTGCGACGTAAATTTCAAGCTCGTCCTGTCGAGTATGGTTTTCGCGGCTTGTTAAGCCTGAAAGCGCCGGGCCGCTGTTAAACGGCTTTCTTATTATTGAGCCTGTTGAAATTCGGTTTATAAAGTTGAAGCGGGCTCGACGTTGCGGAGGAAACCCTTCAAGCACCTAACGTCCGATCTTAGGTCGGATACCACATAATGATTGGAAGAATTTAATGCTGTGAAACTTGGCAAAGATTTCTGATCACTGAAGAGGAATCGTTGAATATGCAATCAACTTTGAACTAACTATGGAAGCGTGAGATCCCATGAAAAACACAGATGGTTTTTGGGGAGCTACCAAATTGTCATAAAAACCAAAAAAAAAAGTTAGACCATAACGCAACCTTTGAAGCATTCGAAATATGTAACACACGCGAAAAAGAAACTACATATGAGCGCAATGGTAGGTATCTACTGATCCAGCCAATTCAGCAGGACAAGATAAAAGGTAAAACATAATAAACATCATAAAGGAATCATGGCCAAGTCCTATGCAAAACGGAGACCAACAGACTGTCTTCTAGTATGGTGTTACAACATATTTTATATATTCTTCTACAAAACTACAAAACCAAAAACAGAATGAAACCACACTAGTTTAAGAATGATCGGAAGTTGTTCAAGCAACTCGTCGTTTGGATTCAATTTGACATAAACATCTATGAATTCTCCATTTCCAATACATATTGGAAGTGTTAGCAAGTATTTTCGTTTTTCTGTTTCATTTGTCGATTACCAAGCGTGTTGTGTTTGTGTATAAAATTAATGGCTAAATTCGTGGAAAACTTCAACAAATCGTACCGCTAACGACTTCATCAATGGCATTGCTCTTGTGGCATTGCACGAAACAATCATAGCCGTGTCGGTTTCCGGTTGCCACTGGTTTAGCGATAAAGCAATTCGACCAATCCGGGGAATTTACACGCCGAATTGCTCACTGCGCTTATTTAAATCGTTCCGGCAATGGCGTCGGCCGAGAATTAACTCTTAACCGCGACCCTTTACAAATATACAGGGTGCACTGAAGTCTCTGCAACAAATTTTAACAGGGAACTATTTTTACGATAAAAATCCATATAAACATATCAGGTGGGCGAACTAAGATGCGACGAACGGGGTTGATACCAAAATAAAGTATGTGTTTTAAACTATATTTCATTATATAGGGTGGTAAAATTTTAAAAAATGAAAATTTCCAGCAAAATGTTATAAAGCTCTGAAAACGATGTAAAAAAAAACAATTTAAAGTAACCTATACAATGTCCTTAAAACCCATAATTGACTTAATTGGTAATTACTCCTAGACGTACCTACAGAATGCTGAATTTTACAAATTCTATGGGAATTGAATTTTTTTAAATGGAATACTTTATATATCATTGTTTCTTCAGAAATTAGCCATTTTCTGTTAGCTCATCCCAAAAAAAGTTTTTGGAAATATCACTCTGTTGAGGAGTAATACGCAGTCGCGTCTTGATTGATCGACTCTCCAGTTTTTTCGTTTTAAGAACTTTTTTCAAAATAATATAGACTTTTCCACTCAAATTTTCTTAAATTTTATGTTGCGACCAACAGTTTCTTCAGAAAAAGTCCTTTAATAATAATAATAATGATAATAATTAACAATAATAATAACAATAATAAATGTTTTATTTGTCAGAATAAGGTACAATAATTTCGACAAAATACTAAATATTGAATAAATATATATATCTACGCTTGGTGAGTAAGACAATAAAAAAAAAGACAATACCTGATCATGAAGCCTTGTCAATTTTGCGAAAATATACCCAAAAACTAACTGTCGTAGAAAAACTATGGTAAGTAAAGTAATTAAACGCTCGCTCCGCTCGTGTCAACTAAACACGTGAGTCGAATGCCGTTTACCGCACTTGTTGTATAATGTACTATTGGAAATACTGAGTTTTTTCTAAATCGCTGCAGTTCCCAGATATTAAAATTCTTACTTATTGGCCTTTTTTGATCACATCGTTGCTTGTTCTTATGGTGATCATCGAGGTTATTTCGCTCCGACTATCCAAAAATTTCACCACGCCGCCCGCACATCAAGCCGATGATTAATTGTCCGAAATAACCGACGAAAGAGGTTTTACAAAATTCTATTTGGCCTTTCGAAACATCCATTAAGGGAGGACGCGACGTCGAGAGACGCGATAATGAACCGACGCGCCCGATACACTTTTCTTTCGCGTGATTTTTCATATTTTAATTGTCGCTCGGTAAAACGAGAAAAAAAAACTCGACTGCTTTCGTTTCGTTTTCGTCGTTCGCCGGTTAAGACCCATTAACTTTCAAACTTATTCGGATCTGTTTTGGAGAATTAACAAGGAACGACGGTTTTCTCGTGTTCTTCGAGGCATTTTTTTATTCCGAAAGCGGAGAGAGACCAAGATTCAGCTCTTTAAAGGGAATAACAAAACTCATTAGAGCGAGAACATTCGGGGTGGTCTTAATTAACATCGCGGACGCGCGTTTCAATTCGAAAAAAGGATTTTGTTTTAATTTGCATAAACTTCGGATTTGCTTATCCTGAATTATAGTTATGTTCATTCCTCGCTGTCTGTATAATATATAAAGCAAATGCGCGCCTCAGAATGAATATATTGGCGACACTTTTTTCTAACTATGCGTAAAATACTATAATGGTAGTGGCAGTGGAAATTGAAAGGTTTTGTTTACAAAAGTCAATTTCATTGAAAAATCTATAAAAAGGCAGCCTTTATAATGATAGCAATACAGATTTAAAGTCTTTGTGAAAACGTCAAACAGCAGTAACTCAATGATGAACTGACTAGACAAGAACATTTTAGAGTAAGCACAGCACCAGCACCCAGAAATTTGATATTTGTGTTCAATAGAGCACATAAACATTAAACGTAAACAAAAATAGTTGAAGTTGTTTACTTACTTACTGAACTATATTCTATATGTACATGGTGTATCACGGTTGAAGGAATATTAGAAGTTCAGAGAAAACGGCACCAATTAATTAAATTTGGAAGAAATGTAATTAATAATAAAAGAGTTTAATTATTATTATTTCGAAAACCCCTAGAGAAAGGTATAGGGAAATATTTTACAGTGATCAGAAAGTGATATGTGCAATGTTTTATCACTACTGTATAGGAAACCGACAGTTTTTAAATATCGACAAATGTTGTTATCTTAAGTTCAGTAAATTAAAAAATGATGTAGCTTTTGATTATAAATTCAATGTAGTCAGTATTAAAGAAGTAAAAGGATCTTGCGGTAACTAGAGACACAAAAAATTCTTATTGAAAACATAGTGAAAAAGACTTACAGAAACTTGGGTTCTATTACAACAAAGAATTTAAAGTCCCCAATATCATAAGTATATAAACAGAATTCAAAGCATTCCAAGAAAGTTTAGTTTTCTCATGAACTTTATATATAAGCACAATCTAATGGGTGTAACGTATGAAGCAACCTTTGACTTCTATCATATATTGAAATTATCTGTTACACGAATAATATCTAGTGGCATTTTTTGCTCAATATTGTTAATAACCATAGACTGTACAAAACCAAATCCTTTAATACTAGCCACTCACCATTATTCCTTTTGCAAAGAAATTATAACAGTTGCTTTTGCAGATAGATATTTTTGGTTTGTCACTCAACTAAATTAAATTTATTTCTACATTGTTTCTTGTTTTTCTTTTTTTTTTAGATTTAGAAATAGTTTTGCTTACCCTTTTAAATTAAAATAAATGTACTTAGTTTTAGTGTACTTACCTTTGTAAATTGTGACGTTAGTTCGTCATGTGTAGAGTACCCTGTTAAATGTTCCATCAATTGTGAGACACTCTGTATATATAGTAAATGCAATCCCGCCAAGGGAGCGTCGAACGAACTAATTAACGGAACCGAGTTTAGCGATTGGGCGATTCACTCGTTTTTTTCCCGTTGTTCCATAATCCTACAAAAGTGATCACCGCCTGAAAATGGCATCCCCTTTTCCTTTTCCGATAAATTTTACCGAATCCTTTGCATATTAATGACGTAATTGAGCGATTGTAAGCACTTCGCCCGGCAAAATAAATTTAATTGGCATCGGACGAAAAAAAAAGAAGCGGGACGACGACATCAACCGATATAGAAGAATAGAAGTTTAAATTTTCT